CTACTGTTGGAAATGTAGTGTATCTACTATATCATTGTTTCTTTGGAATAACTTAAGAAAACCCAAAGCCATTTCCATCAATACAACTCTGGCTCATACGTGCACCCTATAAGACATAGTAGAACTTCCCCACAGAGTTTTCAAGATTGTAAATCTTTATAGAAGCCTGCCACATTTCTTCCCTAGAATGACTGGATGTTCAAACTTGACCTTTAGATTAGCAGCCAAGTACTTTACCCACAGGGCAACCAGGACTCCTTTCATTAGAATATAGTGATCTAATTCAGAATCGGGTGAAAACGGAATTAACTTTCTTGAGAGAGTTATGAACCACACTTATTTGCTGGAAGTGTTGTGTTTCAAGGAACAGGGAAGTGATGCCATTTTAAAGTTGTTGTGAAATGTTTCTTTTCACAACTCAGAAATTTAATCTACTTGATAATTTTGACTATTTTTGTTCATTACTTAAAATTTAATGACAGAAGATTTATAATAGCAAGAACTTTTAAGAACCTGTGTCTATTAAAAACTACTTTAACAAGTAATAATAACAAGATATACCATGAAACCCTTATTGTGTCTCCTTTAAAATTTCTTTTAAAAATTAATTATATATACACACATATATAAATACCCAGGGCTACCTTCTCTCGCTCTTTCTTTTTTGTTGTTTTAAATTAGCAGAATCTGGAACTTGTGTCTGTATAGTACAGTGGTCCAGACAGCTGTACTTTTACAAATAGTCAATCACTGTGCCAAATTAGTTTAGTACAAATCTTGAATGAGAACTGCACCTGCTCTCAGTGTTAGCAGAAAAGGCAAATGTTAGGGGAAGCATAATTTTGGGATTTCTTTAAATCGGGTGGCAGCTGATCTCAGAATTCTGCTAGGGATTCTTTGTCTTCTTGTTATGGAAGTCTTGGTATTATTGTCTCTTTTGCTAGGTCTTTTGTGTGTTATTTAAAATGTATTTATATATGTGCTTTGTACTCAGATCTGACAACTTGGACATTGTAAATTAACTTTCCAGTTGTATTGGTGGTTTCTTAAGATTGCTTCAGGCTACACATTTCTTACTAGAATCTCTAACATGAACATCCCAGTTTGGATTAAGTAATGTTGAGTAGCTGGAAGTTTGTGTAATGTTAACTCTTCCGAAGCTATTTTCTTATTGGAGAATTGGCTGTCTACTTCGGAGGAGTCAGGCGCTGAAAACTTTATGCACTGCGTGGAAACTTTGTCAGATGCTGAAGGCCAAGGATTGGAAGCAGAAAGAACATTGTCAGAGATAGTACCAGAAGATAGACCTCCCCACCCCCTCACCTCCCCTCAGGTCAGAAAGCACTTGAAATGTGAGTGAGAATTTCTTTCTCAAAGTAGATTAGACCCTGGTGATATGAATGGAGTAAAGCCTGTGGGAGTAGAGTCTTCGGGATCTTCATTTGCTGATGAAAGTAACATAGACTGCCAAAAGGACAAACAGTTCTGTCTTGGAAGACGTGTGGCCAAAGTGCTGAGGCTGATGTAATAGAGGTAGCATGGAGGGGAGGAGGCCTGGAGAACAGGTTCGTGGATGAGGAAGATGGGGGCAATGAGGAAGGCAGGGGCGATGGCTAGGACAGACCCCATGAGGGCAAGGAAACATGGCAACTGCTCTGCAGCACCCCCCACCCCCTGCCCCCCCCAATTAACACCAAGAGTCAGGCAGTCAAGGATCAGTCTGGCAGCATTGTTTTCAAGGGGCTCATCCTTTTAAAGGCTAATTGATATTGAAAGGGCGGTTCAATCTCTGCAAAGAATGGTGTAGCTCTCCTAATGAAGTATATTTATAAAGGCTTTGAGAGTCCCTTTGGCAGTAGCAGTGATTTGTTTTTGCAGTGGCATGAAAAGGCACTGGTTTTTTTCCCCCCGGTCCCTTTATGTATGTGAAGTCATACAATATCTGCCCTTTTGGGGCTGATTTACTCCACTCAGCATGTTTTCCACCCCTACCCCTCCCATAGCCATCCTGGAGGACAAAGTGGAGCTCCATCGAGTTTCTGAGGCTGGAAGTCTATATAGCAGCAGATGGCCTCATCTTTTTTTGTTCAGCGTGCCTGGTGGGTTTGAACTACCAGCCTTGTGGTTAGCAGCCCAATGCTTAACCCGTAGGCCACCACGGCTTTCAACTTCTTCCCTCTTGTAGCACATATCAAGACTTCATTTTTCATACTGGTGATAGTTTTTCATTTTATTGCATCCCAAATGTACCGTGTTTTGTTTATCCATTGATGGGTATTTAGGTTGTTTTTCCTCACATCTGGAAATTCAATTTTGCGGCTGTCTGTACCCATAAAGATGTACAGCCTTTGAAACCTGCCAGCAGTCAGAATATGCTTGATAGCAGCGGGTGAGTTGACTGAAGAGACTTCTTTCCCCTGTTACGTGGACTTAGTACCTTTCCCATGCATGTGTGAGTTTATTTCTGGAATCTCAGTTCTGCTCCATCGGGTTATTTATCTGTTGTTAAACTGTACTGTTGTTGCTAGGTACCGTCAAATCCATCCCAACTCATAGAGGCAGTACAGTATGTAACAGCAGAAAGCACTGCCAGGCTCTGGGCCATCCTCACAATACTGTTGCCTGAGTACCCTGTCCAAAAAGCAAACCAAACTCACTGCCGTTGAGTCCATGCTGAGTCACAGCGACCCTGTAGGACAAGGTAAAACTGCACCTGTGAGTCTGAGACTGAGTGCAGATGGAACCATGGCACCCAGGGCTCTTTGAGTATGTCTCCCTGTCCAGTATGTTTTACAGTCAAGAAGTGTGAGTCTTTCTCGTTTGCACTGCTCTTCAACATCATTTTACCTATTTGGAATCTCCTGCAATTTTATATAAAGTTGAAACTTGCCTTTTTCTATTTCTATAAAGGCTGTTGAAAGTTCCATTGGCATTCTATTGATTTTAGTGGTATTGACATTGTAAAAATGTTAGCCTGTTGATTCATGGACATGGATCATATTTTAAGTCATCATTAGATCATCTTTAGATCTTTACTACCTTTCAGCAGCATTTAATAGTGTTTATTTTCCAAGTCTTCCATATCCCTGCTTTTCTTGGGTGCCATGCTGTATTCCCTTGTTCTTTTCACACAGCATGGCGCCTGCAGGCTCCACGTCGTCCGCATCATTATGATGGACTCTATTTTGAGAAGGCAGCTCTTCTTGGCCTTGCTTTGAGTGCCTTCCTACTGAGGGGCTCATCTTCTGCCACGGTCTCTGATAGCGTTCTGCTACTGTTCATTAGGTTTCCAGTATCTGAAAATGTTTGGAGCTGTCCATAAGGTTTTCAGTGACTACTTCCTCTGAAGTGGACACAGCATATTCCTTCTTCGTAGTCTGGGAGCTAAAGCGAAACCTGTTCACTTTAAGTGACCCTGCTGGTATTTGAAATACCAATGACATAGCTTTCAGCATCACAGCAGTACATCAGATACCAGAGAAGGACAAACTAGCAAACAAGTGGTGGGTTTGTTTTTTAGTCACCTTTAAATATCTACTTCCCCACACATTCTAACTGAACTCTAAAAGCTTTCTTTAATAGTTATTTCTTGTATAGGCATATGTCAGGTAATGGATGTGATTTCTTTTTCATGGTCTTTAAAGGTTTGTAGGTAATTCTGAGCAGTACATAGGGTTTTTATTTGGTCCTCAATGCAAGAAAAGGCTCTTTTCAGGGATTTAACAGCTACATGTGTATTAAGTGAAGGGGATTCCGATGAAAAATTTATTGTTAATAGGAGTTGGTTCAATGTTTTAAAATGTGCATGAATTTATATAACATGAAAGCAGGGCTTCACAGATGGCAAGGAGCCCTCCCTGGTGGCAGTGTTGGGTGAGCGTTGGACTGCTAACTGCAAGTGCAGTGGTCCAAACCGACCAGCAACGCTGCTGGGGAAAGATGAGGTTATCTGCTCCCATGAAGATCCACAGCCGTGGAAACCCTGCACAGCATTGCTGTGAGCCAGAATCCATTTGATCTCAGTAGGCTTGGTCTCTAAGGTGGCACTGCACTGAAAGTGGCTGACTGCGCTCTGAATGTGTGTGGCTTTCCACCACGGCCAGTAGCCCAGTCCCTTGCATCAGAATCTTAACCCTTTCTAGGGTTTCTGATTTTCCATCCCAGGAACAGACACATCACTCCAGTTATACAAGTTTTTGCTTTGTTTTGCTTTGCTTGGTTGGCAGTCAGAGAACCAGTTTGAGGCCCTGTTGTAAGAAGGGTTTGTGCGTGTACAGATAGTCTTAATCCAGTGACCTCTTGTAGTGTGTTAGTTGATTGAGATACGCTGAATTCTGAGTGAGTTCACCAACGATGGGGTCAACTTAAGTTTTGGCAAATGCTCTGCATTTAATAGGCATGGGACTTTGTTAAGTTAAGGTTCATAAAGCATTTGAAATACTGTCTCTCCTTTTTGAGAGAGTATTTAAAGTACCTAAAAAGATTTTGGCATGTCATTATGATTATTTAAGATTTTATAATGCTCAAGATAAAATGACACATCTGATAGGTTGCAAGAAAAAGAAGAAGGAGCTTCAAAGGGTTTATTGAAAATTTCCCTTATCTTTCAATCCCCCTCCCC